GATTGATCAGTGTCCCTCTGCTCTCCCTGCAGGATCAATCATCTGTGCACAACTGTTCAACCACTGAGCCACTGAAATGCTCTCTGCCTCTTCACAGCAGCTTGTTTTTGTCCTGGACATGTTCTCTGCTGTTTGATCATGTGGGCCGGGCACCGTGAGAAACGACTCTATTCACTCTAGTCACATAGTAAAGACGTGAAAGAGAAAATAAAGTCTTTCTCACTATCTGGCCTCTTAGTTTTCCTCCAAAGATCACTTCAGGTCACAGGCTCGTGTTGGAGGGAAAGATCACTCTCAGCCTGAGTGCAGTTTGTCGGAAAGTCATGGAAAACTGTCCGAAAGCTCCCAAAAAATCCCTGAATGGGTGCTCTGTGGGAGTACAACTAATTTTATTAGCCCCCTTGGAAACATTCAACCTAACAAGTGGAAAGCAGTTTCTGCATAAATTAAAGATAATCCAGAGTAAATTATGCAAATGTATTCGCAGAGATAAAGGAGGGGGTGGTGTGGTCGTTCATTGTGAGGTTAAAAAATCTGAGCCAGTGGTTGAAACTGAACCGAGGGAGACTTCACTTAAAAGTCTGTGAGGGCTTGGCCTGTGGGGCAATAACACCGCCATGTTGCATCATCTGCGAATCACAGAGAGGGACGGAGGAAGCTCTGAGGAGCCGAACTTTACCTGCAATAACATGTCATAAAATGTCAAAGTCAGTTTTCAGGTTGATTTCTTTCCCTCCAGGCAGCCACCACACTCTGTTCACTTCCACCAAAATCAACATGCAGAAACATTCCATCAGATCTATATTAAAGAGATGGTTCAGGTTTTTTGAAGGCAGCAGCAAAATGACATTTTATCCATCTAAAAATGTCAATTTAGTTTAAGTCTACACTATATTGAGAGTATTTTCACTGCTTTACCTAACCGTCAGACAGCCCGTATCGATGGGGAATCCATTAACGGCTTCAGCACGCATCACCACAGATGCCGTGCAAACCGCGGATCCATCTCACGCTCCATTCTGCCCTCACTCGTGAACACGATCCTGAGATACTTGAACCCCCTTGCGTGGGGCAGTAACTCCCAATCCAGAGGGGGCAATCCACTGTTTTCTGCAAAGAACCATGTCCTCAGACTTGAAGGTGCTGACTCAGGGTCACACTTGGCTGCAAACTGCCCCAGTGCATGCTGGAGGTCAAGGTGTGATTAAGCCAACAGAACCACATCATCTGCATAAAGACAGTCAGTCAGTTTGTCAGTGGACCTACACGTCAAACTTTGACACGCTAGGTACCCTCCTGCATCTATTTCAACTTTTTTCGACAGTGTGTCAATTTGTGCTTGTTACATGAATGATCTCTTTTTACAGAAAATGCACAATTTCCACTCGTGAAATGCGTACGGTCTTTACCAGACAAACTTACAATTTAGGTAAAACACTGTTTTTAGGCTTAGGTGCATGGTGGTGCAGTGGTTAGCATCGTTGCTCCACAGTTCCTGGTTCCTGCTTCTGTGTGGAGTTTGCATGTTCTCCCTGTGTCAGCGTGGGTTTCCTCCAGGTGCTCCGACATGTTCTCCCTGTGTCAGCGTGGGTTTCCTCCAGGTGCTCTGACATGTTCTCCCTGTGTCAGCGTGGGTTTCCTCCAGGTGCTCTGACATGTTCTCCCTGTGTCAGCGTGGGTTTCCTCCAGGTGCTCCAGCTTCCTCCCACAGTCCAAAGACATGCAGGTTAATTGGTGACTCTAAATTGGCTGTAGGTATGAGTGTGATCATGAATGTGTACCCCACCTCCCCAAGGTTTGGCTTAAAATTCACATGGAAAATGAACAGTGTGCTCCTGGTGAACATCTGGAGTTCCTTTGATCCATCTACCACTCCTCCTGCCCGCCCTATACAGACTTTCCCACTCGTTATTTTACAGTAGTTGCCATGCGTGTCATGTCACTGAGAAAGGTGCCTCTGTGCGTCCATATCTGACGCCAGCGTCCACTGACAAAGCGGCGGTGTTTGAAGAGTTGGGAATGAGAATGAGCTGGCTGAACACGTCCTCTGTGCTGGTCCCACAGTGATGAAGCTGGTGTCTGTCTTCTCTTGTGACACTGGAGAGAACAACAGGTTTCTTAAAATGTTTCTAAATCTCTTTAAGAAGTTTTGAAATATCAGATTCATATAACAGCCTCTGTGATCCTGTGATCTGAACAAACAGTTCTCACTCCTATAGACATAAAGATGGACTACACACACACACACACACACACACACACACAGACACACACACACACACACAGACACTCATTCCACATTCCCAGAGTGAATTGTGATTTCTGGGTCACTGCTGATGTTTTGGTCTCCATTTCAGGGCGAGCTGGAAGCATCTCTCAGGGGTCAAGGGGTCGGCCGCCCTGTGAACTCCACCACACACAATTAAAAACAAAAAGACACTCCTCTCAGCCATTTCACTCAATTACTCTTTATGTTGCGTTCATGACTCCTCGCTGTCTGCAGGAAACAGAGTCACAGCAGCTGGTGATGTTTGTAAAGAGAAACTCTGATGATGCTGCAGAGATAAAATCCACACACTGTGATCTACACAGAGTCTGGGTGAATCACTTTAATGATAACGACTGTGATCAGGAGGCTAACTGATGACTGATTAGGAGGATTTTGGTTATTAGTTGTTTTGTATCCACATAATTTCTCGCCCCATGAATTATAGGCATAACTTCAGTTGTTCCTTTCACTGATCTGGTGTCTGTGAGAGTTAGCGTGAAGCTGCAGGCGTCTTCTTCTTCTCTTAGTCTTCTTTTCTTGAAACTCAGGAAATAAATGATGTAGGAACACAACCTGTGAGGAGGTGAACTTACCGTCCTGCTACTGCTGACATCAGGTGAAACTGGAACTAAGAGGGTGCTGCTGGGTCTGGAGTGAATGTCAAATTTAAAGCTAAGTTCACCACAGTGTTTTGGACCAGACTGGCGTTTGAAACAAGAGAATATATTTTGTAACTGGAGCACGCACAGTCAACGCTTGCTATATTAACAGTCACAGAAATTGGTCCGCCTGCAAACGTGCACCCACTGTGCAAACCTTTACTACATGGGTGGAGAACCTCGTCTCGCATTGAAGTCGACGAAATGCGGCGCTTGGTCAGTGACTTTCAGCATCAGACACAGATGAAAAAAGCCGTGCTCTCACATCGACATGGTTCATGGCTGGTGGCCGCTATTGTTTAACGACGCCCAGCAATGTCCAACAAGCACCAGCTTTCACCCGGTAGGTTGGTGTTCTCTTCCTGTAAGATTGTAGAGCCAGACCCTGTTGTTTTTTCCTGTGGGTGCACAACATATTTACGTCACACAGATTTTAGACCAAAGGATTTAACAGGATAATGTGGTCACAACGTGGACGACCTGACTGCACACATTGTTTTTCTTTTCAGGTGTCATCAAACTGATGAAGATGTTACTTCATTTGTTTGTATTCTGTCTATTTGAAAAAAGTGTTGTTGTTTTTTTTGTATTTGTGGTGTGTTGAGCTCTCAGGGCCACCGTATGATAGGGGCCCGCAGTTTAATTTTTGCCCCTGGGGTTTGTTTATGGTTGATCCAGCCCTGTAAATTACCATAAAGTTTGAAGAATACATATTTCAGAAGCTCAAAATTTCTGCCTTGTGTTTTTAAAATTGTGAGTATTCCTTATTTCCCTCTTTCTCCCCATCCTCCTACCTTCACGTCTTTATTTCTTTTTTATTTTACTTATTTATTTATTCCTCACCTTAATTTCTTTTTATTTATTCATTCCTCACCTTAATTTCTTTCTTTTTTTATTCCTCAACTTAATTAATTAATTAATTTATTCCTCACCTTAATTTCTTTTTATTTATTTATTTATTTATTTATTCCTCACTTTAATTTCTTTTTATTTATTTATTCCTCAACTTAATTAATTTATTTATTCCTCACCTTAATTTCTTTTTATTTATTTATTCCTCAACTTAATTAATTTATTTATTCCTCACCTTAATTTCTTTTTATTTATTTATTTATTTATTCCTCACCTTAATTTCTTTCTTTTTTTATTCCTCAACTTAATTAATTAATTTATTTATTCCTCACCTTAATTTCTTTTTATTTATTTATTTATTCATTTATTCCTCACCTTAATTTCTTTTTATTTATTTATTTATTTATTCCTCACCTTAATTTCTTTTTATTTATTTATTTATTCCTCAACTTAATTAATTAATTTATTTATTTATTCTTCACCTTAATTTCTTTTTATTTATTTATTTATTTATTTATTCTCACCTTAATGTCTTTTTATTTATTTATTTATTCCTCAACTTAATTAATTAATTTATTCCTCAGCTTAATTAATTTCTTTATTCCTCACCTTAATTTCTTTTTATTTATTTATTCATTTATTCCTCACCTTAATTTCTTTTTATTTAATTATTCCTCACCTTAATGTCTTTTTATTTATTTATTCCTCAACTTAATTAATTAATTAATTTATTCCTCACCTTAATTTCTTTTTATTTATTTATGTATTTCTTTATTTTTTTATTTATTCCTCACCTTAATTTCTTTTTATTTATTTATGTATTTCTTTCTTTATTTATTTATTCTTCACCTTAATTTCTTTTTATTTAGTTATTCCTCAACTTAATTAATTAATTAATTTATTCCTCACCTTAATTTCTTTTTATTTATGTATTTATCTATTTATTCCTCACCTTATTCTATTTATCTATTCCTCGCGTTAATTTCTGTCGTCCATGCTTCCATTATTTTTCCTCTTTTATTTCGTTTTTAATTATTTCACTTCTTCATTTTTTCTTTTTATCACCTCCTTAACTTTTCATAGGCTACTTATAATTTATTCTCCTCCTCTCGCTCCGGCTTTGATAAAAATAAAAACAAATAAATAAATGACTGAATAAATAAAACGACAGCACACGCTGATGTCAGTCTGACTGTGTCAGTTGTGGTTGATGTGGAGGAAGTGAGGCCGGTGTGGCTGCGGGCTGTGGGCGGTGCACAGCTTCAGTCTGGCGGCTCGCCCTCAGTCAGTCAGTCGGTGTGGAGGAGAGCGGACGGAGCGGAGCTGCGCACCGTGACCCGGGATCTGTACTATACACACAGACACACACAGACACACACACACGCGCGCGGCAGCGAGACCAGAACCGAGCGACCGGCAGGCAGGCAGGCAGGAGCCGAGCAGCATGGAGCTGTGAGCTGCGGCCGACCCGGGACCTGCTCCCCAAACACCACTGTTTGATTTGTTTATTTACCGCATCTACGAGCTTTCTTTCCCCAACATGGAGACTGCAGGCTGCAGGCTGCCGCTGGCTGCACTCCTCATCCTCCTCTGCCAGCAAGGTAAGACGCGTTGCCATTCATGTTCTGTCCTCGCATGACACAGGAACCTCAGACCCCCGCATATGCTCACATTTGATCCCAAGTGTTTTCAACTCGCTGCGCCAACTTTAAGGTGACTGCGCAGGTGAGAGTGAGAGAAGTGAGCTGAGTCCCAAACAAACCAAACAAGCCCTCGTGCACAATGTGTGTTTGTGTCATTGTTAAAACCAGAAACATGTCTCTCTCTCTCTCTGGGCTGTGTATCCGGGATTGAACCTGCGGTGCGTAACGCGCTGTGCGTCTTTGGAAACATTCAATGAAACGAGTCCAAATCGTCTGTGCGCAGGTTTTCTCATGTGACTGAGGCATGTTTGAGTTGATGCTGAGCGTCACTGCTCCTCGGGGTCTGTGGGATCGTAGATTAAAACGTTTGAGAGGCGCAGGGCGTCGCATACATCAGCTCCAAACCGGAGCTGTCAAGCATGAAAAGAGGAGTTTGGACACGGTAGTCTGACTGGCTTATTAAGAGTGTCACAGGCTCCATATCTGGCAACAACAACAGCAGTAATCCCATAATGCTTCTCAGAAACAGATACTATCACTGCAGAACTATACACTGATGCATGTCTGCTTTATTCCAGCCCTGAGGCATTTGATAAAACATTTATGTGTTGACAGAAACACACGGAGCTCTTTAAATCTGTAGAAATACTGAATGAGAGTTGAAGTTCATGTGACTGTAAACTCACTGGAGCAGCGAGGCCCTGAGGTGTCTGATCAGGAAGAGACTTGTAGTCATGTGTTTTTGGAGACTCTTCTGTCTGCCGTGGGAGTAATTCAGCTAGTTTCAGGTTTAGCTGGTGTCAGTTTGGACTGCAGTGACTGTCGCAACCTGCCCGTTTGCACAAATGAAGGGATGCAGTTTGTTTCGAAATAACACACTGAGGAGCGTCCAGCAGGGTTGGAGCTCCAGGAGACAGCAGCGCCTTCTGTTTGCTTCATTTAATGTTTAATGTCTGTGATGTGATGACGTCTGTCAGAAGTGATCACGTTGCTCTCCTGTGTGATTGTTGGAAAAGTGCCGATATGATTTATGTTTCAGTACCAACACTGAAATTATACGTTTTTGATACCTTTTACTTGTAAACATGTTTTGCTCCAAAACTTTTGATATTTAAAGGTCCATTGTGAACGACTTAGGAGGATTTAGTGGCGGGTAGCAAGTCGTGGCTTCAGACTTCTCCTGGTTGGTATTGGGTGCTGAATTATCCACAGAGGTCTCTTTGTCTTCTGAACAAACAGAGCAGGTGATTTAAAGTGAAAAAACACAGATTAAAGCGTTTCAAAAATGTCAACAATCAGTGTTTCTCTGATGCTGTTTGGCATGTCGGTGACAGGCTGCTAGCCCAACACCTGCTGATGTGTGCTCACACTTTTTCTGTGATAACTTAAGATCCAGATGTTCCGGAGGTTTTTAGCAGGAGCCGAACTTCCAGTAGAGGCCTCTCTGTCTTCAAAACAATTAGACCAAGTGATTTAAAGTGAAAAAAACACTGATTAAAGCAGTTTCATGTTAAAAATCAGTGTTTCTCTGATGCTGTTTGGCGTGTTGGAGATGGGTTGCTAGCACCTGCTGATGTGTGCTCACACTTTTTCTCTGATAACTTAAGATACAGACAAAAATAAGTGTTTGTTGCTTAAAACTTTCTGGCAGAACCCCCGTTTGAAGTGAAGAGTCACTGAATGGTATTTTTGTTGTCTTCCAGCAAATTCTGCCGTCATGTCGTCAAACACCAATGCTTTGTCACGTCATTAGTGTCTAGTGACGCACTGGGTTTTCAGCTAAGTGTAAAGCCATCTGCAGCAGTTCTCGAGGCTGAGAGCAACTGGCGTAGCTTAAAGAGTTAGAAAGTCCGCACAGGGCTGGAAGGAGGGGAGGTGGACATCTCAAACAAAACTTTCACTCAGGAGAACGTTTGTCTCTTTGTGAAACCAGAAGTTGTAATTGTTTTAACTTAACACCACGTAATTTACGTACAGGCGCTGTTTCACTCACGTAAAATATTAACTAGGGCTGCCGTCTGAAAGTCAAAGAGTCAATCAGTCAGAGATCCTTCAGGCAACTCAGATTCTTCAAGTCGAGCAGTTTTTTTTTGTCAGTCAGTGAACTTGTAGGGACGTTTTGGTCTTCAGATTTAGCAGCAGAGTGAGCGCTCCCCACTTTTAACGCTGCTCCCTGGTACAGGCAGCTGAGGACCCAGACACAGGGATGTGAGTAAGATGGAGGCAGCTCCAACTAACACCGACTTTCATCTGGGAGGCCGATTTTCTGTAAGGTTGTAAGGCCAAACCCTATTCTTTTTTCCTAAACCCAACCACGTGCATGTGCTGGCTAAACATAACCACTGTTACAGACTGTATGCAAACTGTACATTTCCTGTGAAAACAGAAGTGTATTTTGAAAACAGACAATGCATGTAACAGGCTGAAGTTGACACGGCGTCCCAGAACATCAACAACCAACACACCCAGGGTACCTTGGACGTCATATGTGGACGTGGAAAGTCCATGACCAAACGTGGACATGTGACGAGGTCACAGTGAGAACTTTTTTCTAACCCTAATCATGACCGTTTTAAAACATTAACAAGATATTTCACTGTGTTTCAGCTTTGGGTCACGTAGAGACACCCAAGGGTGCCCTGTGCATCCCAGTCAGACGCCAAGGGGCGTGTCATGTATTTGATGACATGTGAATGAGATCAGCTTGAGCAGCACTTCATTGGAGCAACATGAGCTGCTCTGAGGGAAATATTCTGAACCCAGGATGCTGTTCTTTATAGTCACTTAAAGAATATAGACATTCTTGTACATTTTACTGAGACACATTTTACAGAATCCAGCCTGACATTATCTCTGCTGGAATTTAAAATGAATTTGAGTGGCTTTGGCAAGTGTTTATAATAACGAACCCACCAGTGCGTCCTGCGGGGTTGAAGAGGTTTAAGAAGTCAGTGGAGATGAATCAGGATTTGTCACCATAAGCCTGAACACTGGAAGGGTTTTCCAGCTCCTTATCCTCTGGTTTGCCCTCCGAGCCGTGCGGTACAGTCGCAGCGTGCCAGAGAGGACACTGATCTGCTTGGTTGGATCTTTTCGGGGGATGAGACTTGAAACAAAGATTAGAGGGGGGAGAAGCTGGTCAGAGCCAGTTTTAGCTGAAGAGATGTGAAACCTTTTGTGCCCGGGCCAGTGAGCCTGGATCTGTGCTGGACGGTTCGGTACCTGCAGAAAGCCTCCGGGCTCCCTCACGCCTCCTCCTTTTTCATTTAGGCTGTTTTTTTTGTGTTGTTTTTTAATGAAGCTTTGCTGAAATGTCGGGGCACAAAGGAGGTGCCAGCTCACTGAGGAGGCAGCGCAGGAATGGTTGATGGTGGAAGAAAAGACACATGAGGAGAAAACTCAGCACCATCTGTCCTCCCAAAAGATATTTGTGAATGGACAGTGCCAGCCGAGCCCTGCGCTGCGCCCGGGCTCATGGAGTCTCCGGGCCTCTTGTTGTCTAACAGGGAGTCTGCTGACAGATGGCCGTCACAGTCAGGCAGTCTGTCAGTCAAACACATGCAGGGGGCGGCTGTAGATGAGATGCCCACCACACACACACCAGGCGTGTCAACGCTGAGCTAAATATGACTGATAGTATTTGTTGTCCGTCGTTTTTGAGGGACAGATTCACATATTTTTTCAAGTCTGGCTGAAAATACCGAATTTAAAAATGAAGGCACCAGTACGGCTCCAGGAGTGTAAGCTAACCATCCCAGTCATAATTCATCTGTAGATTATATTTTGGGCTTTTTTTGCCTTTAATGACGGGACAGTTATGAAGCATGAGAGGTGGAGAGACAACAGATGACATGCTGCAAAGGGCCTTGGGCTGGAATCAAACCTGCGGACGCTGCAGCAAAGACACTGCCTTTGTACACAGGGCGCTTGCCCTACCTACTGAGCTACTACGCACCCCTCATCTGTAATTTTTATTTAATTTTTTTCTGATGAAGAACCAAACAATGGCAACATCATTCAGCTCCAATGTGTGATTTTGGACTGCATGCTGTCATTGCAAAGTCAAAAGAGGCTTGATGGGCATGACACGTAACACCACAGCCTCAGCCTCTAGTGTGAGATATAACATGTGTGTCTGCAGCCCTTTATAAACAATAATGATGGCAGAACATTATCAACAACAATCATTTACCATCCCTGTTATATGGGGGCTGATCTCGTCCTCTGCTCAGAGGATAAGAAGCTCCTGGACCTCATTGTTTTCCCAATTTCCAGACATTTCCGGCTGCTGTTCTTTGAGTTAGCTGCTAACTGCTATCAGCTACTTTTTAAATCTTCTGCAGTGGCTTACACACACAACATGCCATTAAATCGTCACACGCATGCCGCCCATGATTCTGTCCTGCCAGCTGTCCCGTTTATACAGACATCATTTTGGCGCTGTTACTACCTCTGATGCTGCCTTAAAGGAGGAACAACTCTGTCCCCGCTCCTTCCACGAATGTACGTTTTAGGAGCCGTACACATGCCACGCTTTATGCGCCCTCAGATTCCTTGTTTTTAATGTAGACGCACAGCAGTCGCACTCAAACGCCAGAGTGACACTGTCGCAGTGCGCACACGTTCCCGAGCGCCCATCCCTAGAGTTCAACCTTTGGAGCGCGTCATGTGACGAGGACCAACCAATCACAGCCGACAGATATCTTTCCCTTCTTCTGTAAATATTCAGTCTGATAAACACGGAAAAGTTGATCATGTTAGTGCAGGGCTACCCAGAGCTTTACATCTGTCCCACAGACGACAGGCCGACACACTTATAAACAGCTCCTGGAAGAAGATCAGCTCTGCTCTCAGGGTTTCAGGTAAACAGGCTATATGATGCTTGTTAAGAGACATGACCTGCCGCCGCGTTCTTGTAAGCTGGCACAGAAAAGGCACAAGAGTAGCACCCAGTAAAA